TGATTGAACCTGCATGGTCTCCAGGAGTTCTTTGGGCTAGGCCTGACAGTACCCAAAGATAAAATTTTGGGACTGCTTTGGGGAAGTTGTAGCCCCAGTACATCTGGAGTGCACTAGGCTAATGGATTATGAGGCACTAAATTTCAGAACTAGGAAGTATCTCTCCAGGAGGGTTGTTTGTATTAATTCCCACTTGCCCTCTCACTGCCTGATTCTGGGAATGGTTACAGAGAAATCTGTACTATGTTTTTTATAGGTCATGTGCTATGGGTATATAAGATTTCAGTTTTAGTTGCTGTTCAGAAGATGCCCTTTCCTAAGTAAAAATACATAATTCATTACTGGTATTTGCAATGATCTGTGAAAATATAGATAATGTAACCGAGGGTAGAAGAATTAGTGAATTTGTCAAAAGTTATGCTGCTGTTATGAGTTTGTGTTCCAATTGTCCAAGCATGGCATGCATGACATTTACATTACTTACAGAATCTTTCTACTTATTTATCTAATTGCCCTGAGACACAAAGCTGAACTACCATCTGATGGTTGTAATTTTCCTCCTGTTTTGCATGTAATGATCACCCATGGGAGGTGAACCGTAATAATGTGTTGCCTGAGGCAGAATAAGTGCCCTTCATTTCCCCTTCCTTCCCAAATATCTTTTGAGGTGATCTTGAGGAACTTGTCTGATCTTCACATGTTGAAGTGAGAACAGGTTTCCTTTCCGGGAACAAATGCAGTGTTCTGTGAATGGGAATTGATGAGAGCCAACATGTGATTACAGGAATAGGGAGGATATTTAACACAGTAGTGGAGAACAGCTGTTGAGCTAGTCTTGTTAAGAGCTAACCAGGACTAATGGATCTGTATAATCCTTGCCTTTTTCATTATTTTAACTTCTCGGGCAGATAAACTTAAGAACAGGCCTGTACAGCCTCTTAAACCAGCATGGATATTCACATGGATGGATTTTTATATGTCAAAAATTTAATTTAGATCCCTCCTGGATGCCATAGTAGTTGATGAATGAATTGGTTTTTGTTGATGGTATCAGGAATAAGACAATCCATTTTGTGGTTTTATAGTTACAGATTTCAGTAGAAAATGCATAATCTGGAACAAATCTGGACTCTGTGGCTTAGTTGAAAGTTTCATAGGGATAAAGGGAAGTGCTTGAAACATATGGACTTGTTATTGGAGGGCCATACATCTTCTCCATCCTTTTCAGTCCAGGAAGGATCTTTGCAGTCTTGGTATATCAGTTCCAGTTTGACTAAGTTTTGAAAGTATGTCTATTTTGTACTTTGGCTTCTGACTTTTATATTATCTAATGCAAGGATTGGTTGCTTTTCAGTCCTAAATATCATTGCAAAACTAGTTCTGAGGTTTTTGTTTTTTTAAGAAAAGCAGGTCAAAGAAGTAAATACAATTGTGCAGTGTTGCAGGCTTCCAAACTCTTGTGAGACTTCAGTGTTCTTGCATGCTTCATGCAACGTTTCACAAGATTTTGATTGTTTTTAATGTTTGAGAGGCACTTCAGGGCTTCCCTTAAAGACTGGCTATTGTTCACCAGTATTATGACTCTGTAGCCAACATATATATAGGAGTGTTTCTTACTGTGCCCATAATTAACTAGTTAAATTTTTAAAAGTTCTTTTATTTAAACAGTGGTGGTAGTGAAATCCTGAGGGATTGCTGGGAGTGATGGGGAGGAACCCTACTAGTTGCCTTCTAATTAATTGGTATTTTGTAATTAGCCAAGGCAATTATGACATTCTCTTAGTATTCCAGATATACCCATAATCTTAAAAATGTTACTTTTCTATGCCTTGGACTAAAGTGAGAAAAGAAAAACAGGAGTGTTCCACTGAGCAACTAGAAACTTCTCTTTTTTTTTTTTCTTGAACTATTTCTATTCCATCTGGTCATTTAAAAACTAACTCTGGATTTATGTTTTTCTTTCTCCTTCTTCCCATTTCGTGTTATACCTTGAAACACAACATAAGCTGTATAAGCTAAGGGTAGGAGTTGACCTATTAATTTTTAAAATAACTGTGGAAACTTGGAACAAGGGTGAAAATGTTTAATGCTTAAAATTAACCAAAAAGATGTATAAATACGAAATAGCAGGCAGTATGGTTTAGTGGTTAAAGTATTAGACTAGGACTAGGGAGAATTCTGGTTCAAGTCTACCCTTAGTCAAGGAATCTCACTGAGAGACTTGGTCAATCACCTCTAAGTCAATCAGCTGGGAAATTCTATGCCTTGAGCTCCTAGAGAAAAGGTGGAATGTAAATTGAACAAATAAATAAATGTACCAGTGCTTTCTAGGAGTTGAAATTTCACCTTTTCCTTTCACCAAAGTATTGCTTTTTTTTTTCTTTTTAACTGTAAGACACCATGAGCCTGAATGGATTCAGTAACGCACAGATTCAATAAATATGTACATAAATATTGTCAGACTCAAGCCCACAGTGCTTTCATGTATGTAGAAACTGGGACATTCAGCCAAGAAGTTTTCATGTAGTGTTGCACAACTCTCTGCCAGTCAGTCCTAAAAATAATCATTGAGCTGGAAGAACTTGCTGGCCTCAGTCCATGACTTTTAAAATATTGAAGCACTGTAGTAGGTAAAAGAATATTTTTAGAGGTAATAGTTTAATAGCTTCTTTCTATGGGTAAAATGTAACACTAAACTTCATAGACACTTTCCTTTTAATATTTTTAGTTGTTAATTGAACAAGCTATGCTTTTGAAAAACATCTCTTTTTTGAAAGACAAGTAAAAAGTAGTGGTTTTCTGAGAATATTATTCTCAGCTCCAGTTGCTTACAGTATCATCAGCTGTGAATTGGTTAGTAGTTTCTAAGGATAGTTGAGATCTTAGGTTTGCATCCTAAAATCCCCAGGAATTTCAAGGAAGGAAATGTTTGTAATTTTCTACCAGAACTTAGCCAATGATCATCTTCCACTATCCTGATACAAGTGGTCTGTGTGGATGAAAGGTATTGGGAATGATTATCCTTTTTTATTTCCAGCAAGTAGGAACTAAACAGGATAATATTAAAAGTAATAATAAAGTAAAAGTAAATATATCTATATCTATATATATGTGTGTGTGTAAGAAAAAAAATGCTCACTTTGAATGCGCTGATAGATCCTGACCTGGCAAATACCGACCTGAAAAGAATGTTATGGTGGAAGTTTTATTGGTTAGGTGTTGTGCAAATTCAGCCACTCTAACTTAATCAGTCATGATTAAATAAACAATGGCTTAGTGCAATGTGTGAATCAAGCCATAGTGATAGAAACCAATGATGAAGGTTTAAAAGAAAGATTTAGACAAATCTAGGAAAGATAAGAGTATGTCTTATCTTTCTATGTCTATGTCTTTATATGTAGTCTTTATATGTAGCTATGTCTTTACATGCAGTCCAGGATCAGAGGCAATAGGCTACTCCATATAGTTATTGAGGAAGAATGCAGTTGTGTCATGTCCTGCTTGTAGGTTGCCCATAGGCATCTTGTTGGCTGCTATGGGTACAGAATGCTAGATTAGATTCAGCACAGCTCTTCTTAGGTTCTTAACTCAGGCATCCACTCTTACTGGAAAGTTAATTTTGTGTTGTTTTGAAAGCTTTATGCCTTCCCTGTGGCCTTTGTGGCTTTCTTTTCTGCTCCAAAAACTCTTTGCTTTGTAATTATCATTGCTGAAGAAAACCATGTTTTGCCCTTTATATAGAGTGTTCAGGTTTATGCTGGAAGGGACAGGATGTTTACAAGTCTTTGGATGAGTGGGAATGAGTTTATTTCTGTTAGTTACCTCAATTTTTCCTTTACCCACATTCATGTATGTAAGTTTTAACTGGAAGGTAGACCCTGTAATCTTTGTGGGGGGAAAAGGCAGGACATAAATTCAAAAAATGAAAATAATGCAGAGTTTTGGGGAAAATAACCTTGTTATGGCTGTTCCTGATCTAGAATTCTAAACTAAGAGTTTAACTCCCATCTATGCCAGATAAATCTCAAAGCTGCAGTCCTATCTGTGTTTACATGCTCAACTCTTAATGAATTTTACTCCTAGGGTCTTGTAGACCAGATTGTAGCCTTAATGACGTTGGATCCTGTAACTAGACCTTGACTACCAAGAGGCAGGCATTGTGTGACCAGTTTTGTCCTATTTGGGACTCATGACATAGGTAGCCAGATGTTATTCTATGGTGTTTTAATCCTCTACCATGAATTGAACTCATGAACCTTTGCACTTTAGATGTCTATATAGAGTGCATTAACTTTAGGAGCTATCCAGGATTTGGTGCTTTATAGTTGCAGGAAAGGATATGTAGAATCTATTAGAATACTATACATACTCTACCTTACCTTAAGCTCTCAAGAGCAGAGAGAGACAGATGTTAGTGTAGCATTCATATTTCTGTGCTCTGAAAGCTTAAGAGAAGGGGTTCTATGCCATTCTGATAGGTATAACTAGACAGTAACTTTCAAAAGGATAGGTAACTGCTCTCCATTAAGCAGGAAACTATTTGTCATCCCCATTCTTATTTATTTGTTGCAATTACTTCAGCTTCTTTCTTAAAACCAAATAAGCTTTAATCATTGGCCATGCAGTTCTTGCCCATTGCAAAGGATTCAGTCACAACATGCATATTCTATTGCCCTATATTAACATAAAAATAACATCCTATTGTCCAAGCATAGCCAAATATCTTCTGTTCTATGTAGCAGAATATCAATAACAGGGCATGTTCTTTTTCTGATAGTCTGCTTTGGCAGAATCTTTTGGTAAGTGTTGAAAAATCTTAGAATTTATAATGACATATTTCAAAAATAACTACTCCTTGTTGAGCAATCTCTTACTAGATCCTGAGTGATTTCCTTGGTTTTACAGCACTGGGACGTCTTCAAGTATGTGACCGAAGTATTTATATTGGTTCCAGCTCTCCTGGGACTGAAAGGGAATTTGGAGATGACACTAGCTTCTCGTCTTTCTACTGCTGTGAGTATTCAACAACCTTCATTTTCTAACATTGTTTTTCTTTTGCATATACAGAATTTGTGTTAAAGAGAATTTTTCTTTGAACACATTTTCAAACAGTATCAGTCACTTCAAATAAAAAGGTATCTTTGTGAAAGAGCTAAATGTAATCTTGCAAGTGAAGATTATTTATGTTTGGGTGTCACTTTTTGTGAGATAGGCAGTATCTAAATTTGAAATATAAATAAAAAATAAATGTATGTATGTGCAGCTGTTCTCAGTTTGATTAATGAAGTATTATAACCCACATGACCAGTGTTCTAGAACCATAGTATTATTTTCTACCTTGTTATGAGATACAGCTTAGTACTGCTGGGCGATGAGAACAGTGTCTCTGTGTGTAAACAGGTATTGTCATATGCCTTCTCCAGATGTGGAGAGAATAATATAAAAAGAAGAGCATCTTGGATTCCCAATTATCCTCTAAGAATTCACTTGTTCATGAGAGTGTTTTCTCACCTTCCCATTTGCTCCATACTTTTCTGCAAAATCTGCTCATGAGAATTTACAAATTCTTGTGAAAGGCATAGAATATAATTGGAGGAGCCCCATAATGAAAGTATGGAGGCAAACATGTCAGTTTCTTTAAAAATAGCAAAGGTTCACATTTCTCTAAATTTTCAACCATTCCAATTTTCTTTCTTTACATTTCTGCTTAATCTAAAGTTCCAAGATCACTGGTTGTATGACTGCTTCTTCTTCTGAGATATGACGACTGAAAATTTGATATTTTTGTAGTTTTCCAGGATTTCTTAACTGCTATTATTTCAGTATAGAAAAGTAGATCCTGCTTAAGTCTTAATTCCTCAGCCTGTTCAGTTTAATAAGGTTGCAAATTCAGAGTAAACATCCTCCTGCTGACCTTTAAGATGCAAAGGAAAACAAAGTTACTTTGCTATGTAAAGAAATGTTGCAATAATCTGTTTCTCAAGGATGATGGGCTCCAGGGTGATGAGCCAAGTGATTATGTATTGGTATCTCATTAAATATATTTTGCAATATTTAAGTATCTTTTTGTGTTGAAAATTGCCTTACTTGAAGAAGGGTGGGATTCTAATTGCCATTCTATGAATGTTTGTTTTTTTCTCTCATGGTTAAAGTGACAATCTTTTTTTTTTTCGAGTGAAAGGCTGACATATAAAAGCAGTGTAGGTATCATGAGAGAAATGTAGAGTTGCCAGTGTATGGCACAAACTGCAAGATTGGAAATAACCTTGAAAGGAATGGTTTTGGGGAGCCAAAACAAAGTAAGTTTCAAAGTTAGAAGTGAGATCTTTTTTTGAAACACTGGGAATGGGGGATGTGCAAGGAAGATCTGTAAGGCACTGGAGGAGTTAAATATTCCTTAATCAAACCCACTTATTCTTTGCCATCTTTTTCCCCCGCCCCCATTTCCTTTATTGTCAGCAAATATCAGGTGTAACTGTATGTTTGCCAGGTTAATCTACTTTGACCCTCAGAAGAGCTGTGAGTGAAACTGGCACGCCGAACAGTAGTAGTGATAGTAAACTTTATTACAGTCATTGGCCAATTCCAAAGCAAAAAGCAAACAAATTCTGAGACAACCGATAAAAAGCATAGTAAAACTTAATAATTATAACACTGATATAGTCAGAGTATGGCATATTTTGCAAATAGCAAAGCTAAACTTAGCTACGCTCAGAGAAATAAAGCTGACTAGATGGGGTGTCATTAACTGCAACCAGGCATCTGTGTAATAAGAGTGATATAGCAAAATATTGGTTACCGTTTCAGGAATTCTTTCATCATGGGGGTAAGGTTTTGGTTCAAATGGGATACTCTGTAACTTCCCCTCAAAAGCAGCTCTTAGAAGGGCATTAAATCTTGCCAGAGTCAGGACTCTAACGAATTTGTGGAACTGTCATATGTTTAGGGTTTTTTTTAATTGCATTTTTACTATTCTCTTTTTTTGCCCCCTTTTTAAAACGTAAATTTTTAGAGAAAGTATATAAACAAATACAAAGAGAAAATAGAATACCGATACAGAAAATAAGAGAAGCATAAATGAGTAAACCAGGGATCTAAACATATCAAGGAATTGATCGTTTTTTGGGTATATCATTAGTAAATTATGAATGATTGAATACATTGCTTTAAATTACTATAAATCACTATTTAGCTGTAAGCAAGGATAAATGCCAAGAACCATGGTCAGCACAGTATATATCACCAAATAAAATTATAAGCTGCAAGAGATTGAGTCAAAACTGAGAATCTGTTCTGCTTTAAATATCCCATGAAATTAAAGTATGAACTCTGTACATTTAAAAATACCCAAATTTTGGATGGTGTTTAAATCCATATATTAAGTTATTGTCCATGAATGTTTTCCACTCTGAATTGAATTCTGTGTCAGATTTACCTTTCAGGTATGAAATGATATTGGACATTGAAGCATACTTTCACATCATTGGTTAACCATTGTTCCAAAGACAGAATCATATGAACTTTCCAGTAAGAAGCATATAATATCATTGTAGCAATTCCAGTATACAAAGTTAGTACAGTAGAGAATAATTATTTGGCTTAAACATCTAGCTGTCTTGAAAAATGATTGATTACCCAAGAATACATCTTGGGATATGGCAGCCAGATCTGATTGGCCTTTCAAATCCTTCAAGTATATTATTTCCTTGGTTGAAAAGTGAGCCAGAAAAAATGAGGCAGAGTAGTAATGGGACAACACAGAATATCAAGATAGGACATTCTACTACTTGATCAATGGGCTGGGTACTCACACTCAAAAATGTAAGAAAGGCAAAGGAGGCTGTTGCACAAAATTTCCTTGAAGAACTATGATATATTTTAATGCTTCATCAGTCCTGACACCACATAGGCTGCTTGTCCAGGAGGACTAGCTTGGCTTCATCATCTCCATAGAACTTGAATTTCTGTTCTATGGATAGGCAGCAATGAAGGATATGTTGCCTTTGTATATGAGGCATGAGTCCAATGGGCCATGAGCTCTTCCAGCCACTTCTTGCAAGGAGCCTTCAGTATTTGTTGGCTACATCTCTATCTAATGGCACTGTAGCATTTGTCACCAGGCCTGGGTGTCAGGGAGTAGGACTGAGCCCATACATTGGTTATTTTAACTTGTGATTAATGGGTCTGTTTTTATCTTGGCTACTCTTTCTATGTGTGTTGGGGGATTTTTTTCCTGTTTTTTTATGCACGGGTGGGTGTATTAACAGTGTGTGTGTGTGTAAACTGTTAGCGACTCAGAGTCATGAATTTAAGATGACCAGCCATATAAATAAATTGCCAACCAGCACCAGTTACTACTACTCAGTCTGCTACAAAGTTGAATAAACTCACACTTTCAGTCTTGGCTGCAGAGCTATAATTCTAACAAAGTACAGACACAGAAACCAATGGCAGCACCTTCCTCCCTGAACTATTTCTTCCCCTGATTCTTTTTTCCTTGCTTTTGTAAGACAACAACGTACAGGCATTACAGCTTCTTGATCCTATTGTCCTCTCAGTCTTGTATATGGTAACTGTCCTACTAGAGACTTGAAGCTATGCTATAAGGAAACTCTAGTAGAAATGTAATGATGCTTGGCTTTCAGTGGGTCATAATTTTTACTAAGCTGTGGTTTGTTGAGTAAGCCACAGGAACTGGAATCGTACAATATGCTAAGGTAAAAACTGTTATAGCTTAGTGTGATGTGTGAACCCAGCCAGTTAATTGTCTGCCTGTTTATAATGTATGAACCCAATCAGTAGAGTCATTTGCACTGGTGGTTTTGAGATGCCTGCTCAGTTTGTACTCATGGTTTGAACTGACAGTGCATAAATCTATGAATAGTCATTCTAGAGATGGGAAAACAGGTTCATACTTCTCGCAGATAAAATATGATGTGGATTATCTGATTTTGGCAAAGTATGACATCAGAATTGTGGTTGGTAAACTATGGTTTGTCACTTAATATTACATGTGAATATTGCCAAATATAGCTTATTCCACTGGCCTAAGTTAAAAATAAACATGGCTTAGTACAATATGTGAACCTATATATGTAACTTTGGTTATTACAGTGCAGAGGATATTCCTCAACATTGAAGACTCCTTCATGTAATCATGCTGTTGCTACCTTCTGCAATTGTTTCTGTTGACCATTGCCAGACAACCATTATGGGGAGGGCTTTGGCTTATGCTATACAAATGCTACAACCTTAGCCCTTCTTTAGAACTCTGTGGTTGTTTCTTATTTAACCTTGACTTGAGAACTGTTTCCTTCCTCACCCCTGCTCAGAGCTGTGCTTCTATGGAACATGAGTCACAGTTTGACCACTGAAGCTCTTGCTGTGTTCCAGCAAAGCTGAAAGATGCTGGCAGCAAGAGAAACTTGGCTGGGAAACAAACAGAAAGCTTTTTATTCTCTCTCATCCTCTTCTTGTTACTCTGCCTCTGCCATGGGGGTGGGGGGAACATGTGCTGTTGCTCCATTAGGATGTTGTATGATGGAATTCCCTATGCAGAGACGTGAATGCTTTCTCAAAGTTGAAGTCTGTGCAAGAAGACTGGCTTCAGGTTTATCAATTATACTGAAACTGCATCAAATGGGATTCAAATGCATTGCTCTTTTCCACAATAAGGTTTTGTGACTGAGTTTGAGCTAGCAACAAGTTGTGCCTTTGCAAGTTGTGTCTTCAAAGAGTAGCTCTTCTCCCTTGAAGGTTAGGGCTTAAGTATGTGTGTGTTGAAATTACATGAACTCCTTCCTTAAGCAGAGCCATCCCAGGGAGTCTCACCAGCAGTGGGAAGAATTTCGGAGCAGCTTTTAAAAGTCAGTTTGCTTGTTCTTTGTGCTATATGCATAAAGCATATATGCATTTATGCTTTATGCTATATGCTTCCAGGTTCTCATTCAATGCACATTAACATTTCCGAGACAATTTTCTGTGTTACTTAAGAAAAGAGAACACATTCATGCTGTACAAGAGATTAAAAGTTTGTTTTTGCCAGTAGCCAGGTTATGTGGATCCCTAACCTAATTGCAAGAGAACAAGGAATCCCTAAGCCAAATTCAACAGTGGAACTAACTACAATTTTGTAAGCTGAAGACTTGTATCCTGTCCTTCTCTTTGGAACTTGCCAGATTTGGGACTGCCAGCAGCTTTATGTGTCTTTCCTCTGAAGCAGCTCTATTGCTGGTGATGTTTTCCTTTCTATTTGTACTGGTGAAACATGAGAGGAAGATAAATGAGACAAAGAGCCAGTTCACCTAATAGACGGGCAAACATAAGTGTGAAAAGGGAGAGTTATAGAAAGGTCTGGTAATAATTCTCAGGCCGCTGATGGAATTTTGTCCTACTGCCACAGTAAGTACTGCCCCTGGCCTGATAGTCTTCATAGAGTCATAATACATTTTGATTTAGGATTATGTACTTAAGCCATTATATTTAATCATGGCTTGTTAAACCATTATGCATTATACTTAGCCATAGTGAATGAGTTCACATATTGCCAAACCAATATCAGTCTGTTATGACTTAGTGTTATATGCTAGCTATGCCAATGTAGAGTTGAGGTGATTTATGACTGGTGGCTGCTTTCTGTCTGTCTGTCTATGTATCCATCTATCTATTTTTAGCCTACATTCCATTAAAAGCAGTAACAAAGCAGGATTTCATTAGCTGAAATGCTGGACATTAGGTTAATTGGTGGTAGAGCATATAGCTTCTTGGAAATCTCTTATGATTCTAAATAAAAATAACCTTCATAATGATAACAGTAATTAATGCATTGTATTTGAGATACACACACATACATATTTCATATATAAAGATATAGATATAGGTAGAGATGTATCTTGAATGGGCTTCTGGTTACTCCTGTGTCTTACGTATCATGGACTATCTGGTCCTTTCTTTGTGCCAAATGACCAAAGTGAACTTCCTATTTTCCATTTGCTGTTCCAAGCTTGCCAAGGAAATGTGGAAAAATGTATAGATTATCACTTTGGTTCTGTGAATCTATTACATTGTCATATGTAACTCTATCTAGAACAATGGTGGGCAAACTGTAGTTTTCCAGTTACTACCAAACTACAATTCCCAATGTGATTTGAAGCTGAAATTCAGTGATATCAAGGATCACAGGTTACCCAAATGAAGAATGCAGACTTTGAGTTAGATCTTTTTTTCGCAGCCTTAACTACAGTTGTGGATCCAGAGGTGCCATAAGTGCTGTATAACTGAGCTACTGATTCACTGCCCAAAATGTTGTATCCAATTTGCCTGGCCCATTTTCTGTTTTCAATTTCTTTTGGTGTCATTCTGACCCTCTGACTTTATAAAAAATTGAGTATTTTGGTCACCTGCCAAATCAATATATAAGCAACTGGATCATTCTTCTATCACATTAGGCTGTGTGAATTAACAGCTTGATATTCTAGCTTTGAGCTATACAGAAACACCAAATATTTGTGAGGTACATTATCTCCATATCTTGCACCTTGAAGTTAGCCACAGAGACTTTCTACTCTTCAAGAAGAAAAGTGGATAACTGTTTGAGCAACTGTGTTCTGCAATCATATTGCTTCCCCAGGTATGACTTTGTTGTGTAGGGAGAGACTAGCACAGAGCTCTCTAATTAGAATATTATTGTGTTCTCTTCTGTACCAAGTTCAGGGAGCTTAAAGATACATCACGCATCAGTCATGGATTGTATAACAGAATTAATTTAATAAAGCTCAATTGGATGACTTCACACAACTCATTCAACTATAAACCACAATGTTTATAGTGTTTAAAATTGCAGAGCAGGCTCAGGCAAAAGTAAGAAAACCACATTATAGTTTAGCATTATGTGTGAACCAGAGTGTAGAGTCAAGAATATGATGACCAAGACACTTGCCTGAAGTAGTAAAGCTAGACGTGTAATGGCAGATCTACTTACCAATTCTATTCATAATAACTTCTGTGGTTATCATACCAAATATATTTTAAATAATTCAGGAAGCATCACTCCATCTACTTTATTTTTAACCCTTTTTTTTTTCTTGCAGGCTAACATAGGGCAAATGGATACACCAAAAGAGCTCTGGAAGATGATAATAGGGAACATGGCTCTGATACAGGTGAATTTGGGAGAAGCTGACACTACTTTCTGGCAGAAGGGCAGGGAAAAAAGCCAGCAAGGGAGGTGAAATCCCAGCTATCTACTACTGAGCAATTTCTGGATACATTTGTCATATGGTCATCAGTTCCAAAAAAATGTTGGAAGTCTGCTGGAAGTCACTACTGCCACAACCTAGAAAAAGTTCCTATTAAAGTGTAACAGAAGTCCCTTCTGAGTCCTTTCCTGTGACTCAGCAAAAAAAAATCAGAATTTATCAGCAGTGGCAGGTACCTGAGGAAGTACTGGTTTGAAGCACTGGAGAGGCAAGCTTACCCAGGACACCCAACAATTTCTACCATCTGTCACCACAATTAAAATGACATTTGCTAGCCTCCAAAATGGTTTCATGTGAGCAAGAATACAGTTTGCTCTCCATCTGTTGCTTCAATAGAGTATCACCTACCCTTCAGGAGCTGCACTGACTCCCAGTAGACAGGCCCAATTCAAATAGCTGTTGTTACCTAAAAAGTCCTATGCAGCTTGGGCCTTTCTTATGTTGGGAACATTTTCTTCAGGTAGAAACTCCCTGCCCTAAGCAGTCTGGTCAGGACAGTTAGCCCCAATGCCTGCTGGGACTCAAAGGATTACCTTTGCTGTAGAATACCTTGCCTCCCAGAATCAGATTGGCCCTCACCCTATTTTCCTTTAGAAGATTAGTGAAAGCAGGTCTCTTCCATGGAAGAGTTTTAACTGGATACCAGGATACTGTATATTGTCTTCTGTCTTTTATATTTAATTAGTGGTTGTTATGACTTATCTATGTAAGCTACCTAGTATGTGGTTCATCAGGCAGCATACAAATTTTTCTAATAAACAAGCATACTTAATTTTTTTTTTCCCTGCAAATGAATGTGACTGCATTTTCTAGGTTCAAGCAACAGTTGTTGGTTTTCTGGCTTCAATTGCTGCAGTGATATTTGGCTGGATCCCAGATGGACACTTCAGCGTTGGCCACGCCATTCTTCTTTGTGCCAGTAGTGTGGCCACTGCCTTCATTGCCTCCCTTGTGCTGGGTAAGAAACAAATGCTTCAGTGAGAAAGAGAAATTCATCTGCAGTACTTTTTGTAGTGACACTAACATCTCCTTTCTGTGGGCTCTAGGCATGATCATGATTGGCGTAATCATTGGTTCCAGAAAGATGGGTATCAATCCTGACAATGTGGCTACGCCTATTGCTGCCAGCCTTGGTGACCTCATTACCCTTGCTCTGCTTTCTGGGATAAGCTGGGGCCTCTATATAGAACTGGGTAAGATTATGGCAACTACATTGCTCTGTTCTATAAGAAAAATGTGCTAATACTTTATAGTATTTAAATAGCTTGAACTCTGTAGCTCATTCCCAATTGATCTAGTTTTTAAGACGCATTTATATGATTGTAATGCTTTAACATCATACTGTTCAGTAACATAGAGATGTAGACCACGCTACCAGCCTTAGTTATACCTGTGCCACATGCAGCATTCCCAGCTAACAATAGGGACTGAACTTAATATGCCAATTAAGATAACAGAATGTCACAAATGTTGAAAGTATGAAAAAGGGTGCTTAGTGGAATGAAGAAATGAAAAAGGCTGGAGATGAGAAAAAAGAGAATGATTGCTGGAAAAAAGGTAGGTGAGATACATTGTATGATGTATACAGAAAGAAAAAGCTAGTTGCAAAGAATGTAATCAAAAAGAGCAAGGAACAGTTATGAATAAAAGAGGCAGAGAGAATGCAGAGTGATTTTGATAGAAATAAAGAATAGTTTTGGAAGTGGGTAAAGAGAGTTAAAAAAGAGCCTCCAGCAAAGTGTTGGAATTAAAATTAATGTGATGAAATGATGAAAGTGAAGTGAGGGAATGGTAAAAGGGGGATTTCAGAGATCTCTATGGAAGTAATAGTATTATGTTGTAATTGAAATGAATGTGTAAATGCTAGAGTTCAAGAAAAAAATGCTGTGAGAACAGTGAACGATAGGAAGATTGCAGTATAGATGGGATAACTAGAGAATAAAAAAATAAATGTAGTTTCCTTATGGAGCGGCTGTGTGATTTGTGTAGTGTACATGTGATTGCATCTACGCCTGATGATTGGAAGATTGCTATTCATATGTATGTCTTGGGTCTGTTCTATGTTAGGCGTGCTTTGGTTTAATATTTATATCATTCTTGACTTTGGGAAGAGTAATAATTTTAAAGATATTAATGAAATGTAATGTACCAGTTGCAATTTATCTGTTGGTGAAGAACTTTGAATTTTTCCAACAGGGAGTGTAACTAAAAAGATTGTTTTGCTTCACTGGAAAGGTACTGCCACTCCAAACTTAAAATACAAGACATGTTTTTACTCTCTTTCTTTCAATTTACTCTTTATCAATATCATTCCATGTGGTCAAGGTCCAGCTATGATTTAAAACCTAGTAGCTTTTGTTTGTGTAGTAATGTATATATTTTTATTTGTTTTTTTACAAATGTTTTATATATTGTGGCAGTTTTTCTTTCATTTCTTTTTGTATAGTATGGCAATAAAATAAAATGTTCCCTAGAGAAAGGGAAAAATAGCAAGAGAGAAAGCTAAGACTACAGTGGATTAGTTTGTTAAATGAACCTGGGAAAGTATTTGGCAGAATTCTGATCCAAAAGGATATAAGAGGAAAAGGTTGGCTGTGAACAAAATTTGGAAAGTACACTGTAGTTTTATACTAAGCAGGGGGTGTTCAGACCAGACTTTTGCTCTTCAGATGGTCACTGAGAAATGTATGTCTGAGAGAAAGAAGGCTTGTTCTACATTTGTTGACTCAGAGAAAGCATATGATAACATGAATAGGCTTGAATTACAGAATGTTTTGAGTGAATATGGAGCAAGATTGGTTGCAAAATTGGTGTATGATGGAAGTAAAAATTGGTGTATGATGGAAGTAAAACAGGTGTGAAAATAACCTGCAACACTGAGCAGGGATTAAGACAAGAATTTGTAATGTCCCCTTGGTTCTTTAATGTACTTATAGATAAATGTATAAGCAGTGTTTGTGGTGATGTTAGAGCTGTATTGGTTCGGGATGTGAATGTACGTAAATGTCTATATGCAGATGATGCTGTACTATAGCTGTATATCATTTTCTGCTACTCTATATATGGAAGTGAGAGATGTGCATGTCATGAGAGATATAACAGTAAGTTGAATGCAGTAGGAATGGGATACTTCAGAACTGTATGTGGTAAACCAAAAGGAGATAGAGTCAGGAATGAATGGGTACTGAATGAATGAGTGAAAGAAAATATGAAAGACATTTGTTGAATTGGTTCAGTCATATAGAGAGAATGAATGTGTATCAAATCACAAAACAAATATATGAAGGAAGATTGAATAGGTTGAGAGGAAGAAGACTGAGAAAGCTATAGTTGGATGGAATTGAGTAATGGAATTGATTAGATCCTCAAAAAAAAAGAGAGGTGACAAATTTAAAGAATCAAAGGCAAGGAAGTGGCATATGCACATGGTAGAAGCAAGGATAGTTTTCAAAGATAGAAAGATATGGAATGGTGGAATGAACATATTGATATAAATCAGTTTAATTTTTCTTTTTCTTATCTCATGCCTTCCTTATTTGTTTCTTACTCCTTGGGCATGATGTTGCTTGCCCCTAAAGGGAATAGTGTAATGGGTATATTACAAGCAACATCAATATTAATCATTGAAGTTTTATTACACATGTGGATATGTGTTTCTGTGTATGTAGAACAATTGACCCCCTGTCTCTTCTGGGATTCTTCTCATTGAGCAATTAGTGGTAATGATCTTCGACTGGAGGATTAGTCCAACTGAAGCAAATTTTATGGTATTCTCTGCCTGCCTGCCTGCCTGCCTGCCTGCCTGCCTCTCACTTTTGGGATTCTTTCCTAACAGAAGGAAGGAGAAAAGGAACTATCCAGTTCACATTATTTGCAGATCAAGGGTAGTCTTAGAAATGCATTCCTGTCTACTCTCCCCTCTGGAGCAAATTCACTTTTCTCTTGATGGTGTAATTCATTTTGGTGTAACCCATGTGTATATTTTTTTTCCCAAACGATAATGAATGGTAACCAAGTTCCCTTATAATCATTGATCTGATTTATAAGGAACCCATGTTTGTTATTTGTGTAATAAATGAGAGCCAGTTTGGTGTAGTGGTTAAGACACCAGGTTAGAAACTGGGAGACAGTGAGTTCTAGTCCTGCCTTAGGCATGAAAGCCGGTTGAGTGACCTTGGGCCGGTCACTCTTTCTTAGCCCTAAGAAGTAGGCAATAGCAAAGCACTTCTGAAATCTTGCCAAGAAAACTGCAAGAATTTGTCCAGGCAGTCCCCAGGAGTCAACACTGACTTGAAGGCACATAAAAAAACCCCAACAACCCATAAATAAATAAAGTGGGAATCTGTCTGTGCAAACTGCACAATGGGTGCTATTTCTGCAATTTCAGCTGAGAGATAACAGTTATGCTAAATAAGTATCCTCCATATGTGTACTGTAGGGATCAGCTACACTAATGGAATGAACTTCTAAGATACAGGCGTAGGGATATAGCCTTAGTAATCTACATTCAGTAGAACAAGTTGTAAGCACACACAGATAGTTTGTGTGTTAACTCAAACTTTTCTGCCTGTAGCTAAAAATGGATGATGGTCTTCTTCTTTAGGTGAATTATGATAAATGTTTCACTTGCTGCTTTGATGCTCTGCCATATCTGCCATGCACTGACTGTTCTTTCAACTCCCTTTTCTTCTTTCTATCTAGAGGACAAGGCTTATGTGAATCCCTTGGTGTGTGCTTTTTTTGTTGCACTGCTGCCCCTTTGGATCATCATTGCAAAGCGGAATCCAGCAACCCAGGAGGTACTATATTCTGGCTGGGAACCAGTCATCATTGCCATGGCAATTAGCAGGTATGAAGACTGCAAGGGTCTCTCCCGCACACACAAAATGAGAGGGATACCCTGTGCTCGCTGAGCTAAATAAAATTGAAGAGGCAAAGCAGGTGTTTGGATTTTTTTGACTCAACATACTTGAGTCTATTAGAAGGCTGAAGTATGTTAAAAAGCCTGCTTGGATATGTAATTTTTATTTCATTTCCATACTGAACCTAGCTCAATACTAGTATCCTATACTAATATTATACTATATTATCCTAACTGGCTCAATACTAGTATTCCTTGATCAAAAGTAATGGAATCCCCTTCCTTAACCAAAAGGCAAATTGGTTCTCAAACTGCTAAGAATCTTGTTCAGTGTCGTGTTAATACAGTGACAGAATTTATCTTTTTCTTTTAATTCATAAACTTGATTTTAGAAGATTATTCAAATTTAAAAACTAAACAAATATAGAGTTTCATATTTGTAATCCTTTTCCCCATATTCTGATTTTAGGAAGACAATTGTTTGAAAAGAAATCTGGATGTACTTTTCAATAAATGGAACGCTCCAGTATTGTGGTGAAATGAGCATTCTTGATCATTCCATGAATTTAGTTTTAGAACTAATGAACTCCATTTTCTAATGTGTCTTTTTATGACTCCTTTTCTTACCTAGAAACTGACTACAAGTGTTAAGCTTTAGATTCTCAAAAGCATTTTATGTGCTTGAAAGAAACAAATATTTGAGAAAATTATTTTATGAATGCATGTATACTTTTAGAATGCACTCAGTGTTTTCAAATCATCATGGAAAACAAGAAATTGCCTCAGTTTTTGAGGCTGTAGCAGTAATTCTTTTATGCAGTTGGTTATTACATCTTCCTTTTTTTTAAATGTTTCTTATTTCAGTGTTGGAGGATTGATATTGGATAAAACTGTGTCAGATCCAAATTTTGCAGGAATGGCAGTCTTTACTCCTGTTATAAATGGTGAGCTGCTCTTTGTTTTAGGCAATCAACTTCAATATATTTAAGATTTAGGGAGGGAGCTAGTGGGATTTCAAATAGCTCAATTGCTATGTGTTGTGGGAATAAAAACATACAGTATGTGATAATTATTGTTCTGCTTGCGTCCTGTTTATAGCCCATGGGTAATAGTAGAAATTGCTGCTTTAGGAAAATGCAATTTTTTTGAACCAGTGATACGTGGTGGTTAGGATTTTAAACTAGACTAGGAAATCTTAGGACTAAATCTTTGTTCAGCTATGTGTTATTAGGTGAGGGGCTAATCCCACCTACTTTACAGGATTATTGTGAGGATAAATTGAAGGAGGGAATATTTTATTTACTTATTTATGTATAGTAGTTATAACTTGCCCCAAAGGACTCTGGGTAATATACAATATCAAAGGAAAGCATACAATATCAAACATAATAATTAAATCCAAATTACTATCAAAGGCAAAAATTAAACTCAATGCAAAGATTTAAAAGAGCAAAGATAACATTCAAGATAGGCACTCATCATCAGCTAGGACCAAAAGCATATTGGAATAAAACAGTTTTAACTTGTTTATTAAATTGCAGCAAGATGGGCATTATGTATGTTATCTTTTGCTTCTAGAGGAAATGAAAAATTTGAATGTAACAGACAGGGACCAGAGACAGAACTTTTCTGGGACACTACTAGATCATATATTTATGTGCCAAATATAACACTTTACATGTGACAATGTTTTTGGACATACTTTTGAACTCATACTCCTAATTAAATGGATAAAGATCCAAATGGGGGAGGGGGAGAAACTTAACTAGTAAGTAATTTGATCAAAACTATTACAATAAAGGTCTGAAAAAATAGGAAAGACATCAAAAGAGAATGGCATATGAAAGGTTACCATGTTGATTAATAATATATATGGGCAGAAAATTTAATATAGTTTCCTGATTAATTATCTTAGCTTTATGTAGCAGTTTGATATTTGTGTATGACCAGTACTACTGTATAATGTTAATACAAGTAGTCCTTTGTTTACAATGGCAATTGGGACTGGAATTGGGACTGCAATCTGGTCGGAAAGCATACTATCACGTGACCATGTTGCTTAGTGACAGCAGTTCCAGCAGTCCCATTACTGTCATTAAGAGAGGACCACAGGGGTCATTAAACGAGGACCTCACATGACTGCAACTTCCAACTTCCTGCCACTGACTTTGCTTGTGGGAAGCCAGCAGGGTACGTCGGAAATTGTGATCATGTGACCATGGCTCGCTGCAATGTCATAATTGCAAGCCAGGTGCCAAGCACCCAGATCATAATCACATGATTGTGGGGATGCTGCAACCGCTGGAACTCCAAGGACCTGTTATAAGTACCACTAGTTCAGCTGTATAAGTTTGAATGGTCACTGAATGAGTGATCGTTAAATGAGGACCTCCTGTACTTGGTAAATTCTATCAACATCTTCTAGAATGAATGACAGGTGTGGAGTTTTCCCCTTCTTCTAATGGCTTTCTGTCATAGCATGTGTTGCTGTTTATTTATGAAATGATTTGGCCAATGGCACCGTAACTGAGTTTTAAGTCCTTAGAAAAGTGTTTCATACTTCATAAAGTGAATAAGCAGGTGCCAGTCTGAAGGTCAGTGAGGTCTTCTAAGTGAGCCCTGTGTTTTAAATGGATGTTCTAGGACTGTGATCTATTTGGGAGGAAATGGGTTATTAATTGGCAGACTCAAAAAATTAGATAAAAGGAAATGCATACTAATGCAACCTTACAGGAATCTCCAACTCTCTTTCTATGGGTCTGTGTGTATTCTCTTCATGTGAATGGCATGTTAGTTGTAAGAGAGGTCCCTTCTCCAATTTCATGATTACTTTGAAACTGTCAAGGATGAATTCTGTCCATCACTGATACAGTATTGCACTTCACCATGTTGGAACCACAGCAGAAATTGGTTCTGCCTCCTATTAGATAGTGTAGAACTTCCATAAGAAGTGACAGTAATCAGCTTCAGATTCTTCCAATCCTCTGCTGTAGACAAGTATGGAAGGAATTTCTGGATGCATTGTTGCTGAGGAATCATTGGCACCAATGTAACTTTTGACATGGTAACTTGTCTCTGTATTCTTACAGGTGTGGGTGGCAATTTGGTGGCTGTCCAGGCTAGCCGCATCTCCACTTATCTCCATATGAGTGGGATGCCTGGAGAGAATTCAGGGATAGTCCCTCGCAAGTGTCCAAGTCCCTGTAGCACCTTCTTCAGTTCAGGTAGCTTTATGAAATATCCTCTGTTTGAATACTTCCCTTTAAAATTTTTGGCTATCCCCTTAGAGGCCTGGTGTTTGCTGCTCTGAACCTTTGGCCTCCTGGACTCTTTCCTTCTTTTTTAGTAATTGTGTGTATAGGTTTTTAATTGTATATTTTTTTATTGTTTTTAATGAGTTGTGAGCCCCCCAGAGTCCCCCATTGGGGTGAGATGGGTGGGGATAAATTTTATTATTATTATTCATTAATCATAGTATTTTACCCCTATCCACCCCCAATCCTGTCATGCTACTTCATCAGGGCAGAGAGGTGTTCCTGGAAGGAATGAGTGAAGAAAACCAGGGGTATATGCCAAGAATATATAATCGCAACAGGGTCACTGAAGGTGTGAAGGTCATCCCCACTGCTCAGCTAAAGCAAGCAGGTGTCAATATTGGAAAGCAGTGCTACAGGAAGATTCTGGAGGGGGAAGATCACTTTAATACAACAGCCAAAGCATCATTTCATACTGTGTGACAAAAGGCAATGGTAAACTATTCCTGTATTTTACCAAGAAAACCCTATGGATAGAAAATACAAAATGATTGACAACATAGTGCAGGATGACGAACTCCTCAGGTTGGATGGCATTCAGCATGTTATTGAGGAAGAGCTGTGGATTTTTTTGAACTATTAATGGTGTTTATGTCATAGCTAGATAAAAGCCTTTGGGACATCTAGTTGCTGATGTTGCCATGCAAGAAATGAAGATAGAATTACAGTGAGAACGTGGAAAGTAAGAAGCATGAACATGGGAAAGCTCAACACTGTGAAACATGAAATGAATCAACTACACATTGGCATCTTAGGCATTAGCAAGTTGAGATGGATTGGAATTGAACACTTTCAAGTCAGAAGATCACACTGTTTACTACACAGGACATGAAAAATAAAAGAAGGAATAGTGTTGCCTTCATAGTTAGGAAGGGTATAGCAAGAACAGTACTTGGCTACAATGCAATCGATGACTGAATAATATAAATGAGATTTTGTGGCCAACTCTCGATTATAACAATTATCCAGGTTTTTGTTCCACTGTTGCAGAAGAAGAGGAAGCTGATGAGTTTATAGTGAAGCTCAATTTGAAATTGACAGATCATGCAAGCAAGACGTGCTGCTTGTGGCTGGAAACTAGAATGCCAACATTGGAAATACTAAGGAAGAAAATGTAGTTAGACTGTATAGCCTGTGAAACTGAAATGAAGCAGAAGAATGACTTACCAATTTCTACCAATCCAATAATTTATTCATTGCTAACACAGTCTTCCAATAACCAAAATGACACCTATATACAACATCACCAAATGGAATACACAGAAATCAAATTGACTATATTATTGGTACAAGGAAGAGCGAAGACATGGCCAGGTACTAACTATGGAAGAGATCATGAATTGCTCATGTGCAAATTCCAAAGTAAGCTAAAGCAGAAGAAGAAAGCCATCTAGTTTCCACAATATGATCTTGAGCATATACCCCCTATTTTCAAAGAGGACATCAGGAATCACTTTGAAGTCCTGAAACTCATTGATGGGAAACCAGGGGAACTATAATAATAATTTATTACGCTTGTAACACTAGAAAGAAATCAGATTAGTTGTTAAGGATAAATGTGAAAAGAGACTATCAAAGACCAAGAAACAAAAATGAATGTCAGAACGAATGGTGGAAATTGCCAAAAAGAGAAGCCAAAGCCAGGAAGGGACTTAACAAAGATTTTCAGAGAGTTGTTAGAAGAGACAAGAAGCAGTATTACAAAGACTTTGATGTTGGAGAAGACTCCTGAGAATACCATGGATATCCAATAAAAATAAATGGAACACCAAACAAATCAACCCAGAGTTCTCACTCAAGGCACAAATGGCTAGGCTCAAACTAGCTGGGGGTTCATCCATTTTTCTGCATGTATAGCTCTCTTCTCTCGGAATAAAGCTTCTGGTGCAGAGAACAGCTACCTCCTAAAGAACTGTTTGTTGTTATAGCCATAAAGTCTATCTTTAAACCCAATTGAGTAAACCCAATATAAATCCAATTGAGTAAGATTAAGTAAGTGCTGTAGGTCACCAGTATATTTTGGAATGAAGAAGGAAGACTTGATGCCCATTTTTGGAAACATAACATCCAGCTCTTAGAGGAAGATTTGGGTAATAGCTGCATGGGTCTTAGTTGTAGAGTTCAGTGGCATACATTACACTGTCAAATTACAATGCTAGGATATCATATTCCTTTTAGCATACAATTTTGAACAAACAATCCCAACACTGAGTGTGCACTTTCCAATTTATAGTTAAATTGGAGGCTGGAATAGCAACATAGAGAAGTTTCCTTTTTGAAGTAGTATATGCCAAATTAACTCTTCATCCATCTCCTTTCCTTCTGGCCAACAGATGTGAATTCCCGGTCTGCTCGGGTGCTCTTCCTCCTGGTTGTGCCTGGCCATTTGGTTTTCCTTTACACCATCAGCTCCATGCAGGGAGGCCACACTACCCTCACTCTGATATTTATAGTTTTCTACATGACTGCAGCACTTCTCCAGGTAAGAACTGTCATCAGTTGTCTGGCTTATCTTGTCAGTGGGGATTCTGACAAGATATAGAGAAATGGGTCCTTTAGCACATGCTTTGGTTAAAGCAAAAATGGGCAACTGTTTTGACTCAGGAGCCAAATTTTCTCCTCCTGCTGTGTCAGAGAGGATGGGGCCAAATATTTTTGACACATTTTCACATGGGGAAGAGGGATTTTAAAGGTCTTACTCACTTTGGGAGATGTATGGATAACCAGAGGGATAATGTTTTTTCAGAAGATATCTTTTTTTTTTTAGTCCTATCATGGGCTTCAAGCAGTTGTTTCAAATTTCACTGTTTAGTTCCATGGTGACATGGTTTGCGTTGTAGATCATTACACTGCAGTGTAAAAAAGAGAATCAGTGTAGTAGTATAATTATGATGTTGAACTAGGACTGAGAAGATCCAGGTTCAAGTCCACATTCAGCCATGAAACTCACTGGACTAGTTTGGACCAGATGGTATCTTTCAGCAACTGCATATGTCAGCGTTGTCCAAACTTGGCCACTTTAAGATGAGTGGACTTCAATTCCCAGAATTCCCCAGCCAGAGCCGCCTAGGGGGGGGGTCTGGGGTATTGACCCCACCCCACTCCAAGTTAGGCCGACAGTGCCCACCGGAGTCTCTACAGTGGCGG